ATAATAAATATTTGAAAATATACTTCTATTTTATATATGTCTGTCGAGTTTGTTGAGAATAAAAACAATATATCAAAGGTGAAATTAACAATAGAAATAGTATTGATGATAAATATTTAGAGAATAATAGAAAGAACTATTTTATTTATTACGTACGAGGAAAATCCTTTTGGAAAAATATAATGAAATTATCTTCATTTTCTTTACATTCTATGATAAAAGGTGATATTATTGATACTGTATTAGTCTATATGTGAAAGTTTGTAGTGTACGCTTCAAAAGTATCATAATCTGTGTAATAAAAGAGATCTATATAGAATCCAACATTTATTAAAAATTGTATATCATCAAAGACAGTATGAGAAAGTTCATAGGTCTTTTTTTCTTTTCCACACTCAATTAATAATGAGTTATTTCAACCTATCGTGATTTTCTAATAGTAATGCTCGTTCTACGTTCTATAGTACAATTCAAACTAGAGATTACATTGCTGATGATTATAGATGGCGGAACATTTTAATTCTAGGGTAGACTCAATATTTTTTTTTATACGATTCGTATCTGAAAGTTGAAAATTAGAGAAGATCAGTTTTGATATGTCATTTAGATGAAATATAGTTATTGCATCTTTTCTCAAATTTACATTTTGCAGCATATAATAATAATGCAGATTAGAAATCAATTTCGTAACTTTCGAAAGAAGAATTTCTGATCTGTATTATTGATAACGCATGTAATCTTGCAACGGAAATCTCTTCAGATATCTCCTTCTGATTTCGAGGATTTTTTTTCCTATAGATACTACATAGTGTTCTAATACAAACTCTAGAAAGATTTGAATTCCTTTTGATATTTGACTAAGCTATCAAATTTTTAAAATGTCTATTTTCTAGAGACCCAAAATTTTTCGAAAAGCTGAAGTCAAGATACTAGACATTAAAAATTCAATAGCTTAGTCAAATCTCAATAGAAACCCAAATCATTTTAGCGTCTTTATTAGTACACTAGATAATATCTATGAATAAAAAAAAATTGTTGAAATGGAAAGAGAAAGGAAAACTTTGGCAGATTCTAGTTAATCTATCTGAGATTTTTCGGTGCAGTTCTTCATTACTTGTAGTGAAGGATCTTCACTTGAAGTCCTGACCAATATATATAAGCCAATATTTACTTATACAAAACTCAATATTTCCTTAATAACGTTTTTGAAGTCTATTTGACTAAGAAAATAGTATTATTAACCGGCGAAAAATATTCATGTTTGTACAAAAATTGTGAGACACTGCTAAAATCTATTAATCTGATAGAAGGAGAAAAAAGTTTTTGAACCTATCCAAGCCTACTGGCTCTGCTGTTTATGTTAATATTTATCTTTCTATTCTATATTAACACACGTGTCCTAGGGGAAAGATACGAATGATTTTTTCCTGATCTCGAACCTGCTGATTTTCTTCTGGCTATGACTATGCTCAGCTTCTTTTCTTTTTCTTTCTATTATTCTCTGAGTATTTCACCTTGTATATTATCTTTTCTGTTTTTTTAATAATCGCCATAGACTCGTGTCAATCAATTAGAAGACATGAGATATTGTTTGAAGAATGTGAAAATAGAGAAATGGAAATAATAAAAGCTATCTTGTTTCTTATTATAAGAAAAAAAAAACAATAAAAAAAAATAAAAATATATATATATAAAGTATGAAAAGAAAGAGAAGATAACACATACCGAATAGTGTGAATAAAGACTCTGGAGTCGTCATCTAATCGTCCAGACGAGGAAAATAAAGAAAAAATAAAGAAGAAACGAATAGAAAGAATTTCAAAAAAAAATTATAATAAGATAGATTAGTTAAAAGATCAAAAATGAAAGATTTTTCTATCTTATCATTCAAGAAAACTAAAATTTAAAAATCTATTCCTATTTATCAAACTTACATCTTCATTAAGATTAGATACAAGTATAACTGGCCCATTTTGAACAGGCATCATATGTGGATTTTGTTGTACCGATAAATTATGTTGTTGTTGATGAGCTTGATGATGAACAGCATGCATATGTACAGCAGCAGCTGCTGCATGACTTGGTGGTAATGTATGCATAGGTGGAGCTTGATGATGAGTTGAACCATATGGATGACCATATGGAGAAGCAGCTGTACCTGCCATTGGGTTATATGCAGCTGATGTCGCTTGTAATGGACTCATTAAATGATTACCACCTGCTTTAAGAAAATAGCTGTTAGCAAAATCCCTGTGGGATTAAAATATTAAACACGATTTAGCTGCTATAAGTAATTTCAGGAGGATGTATTTCTTCAACATCCTTTTGTTTAACCCTCGAAACTGTCACGATGAAAGAAATTTAGTTTTTTCTTTGCTTTACCTTGCATTTCATAACTAGGTGTTCCACTAGTTGATGGAGGTCTGCCACGAGTTGGTGCAGTATAATAATCTGAAAACTAGAAAATTAATAAGATCCAATTAATGAGAAACAATCCTATACCATAACGATAATCTTCATTAGAACTTGATCGTTGTAATGGTAGAAGATTAGCATTTGAATGCATTCGGTCTCAAAAAATAAAACAAATTGATAATTTTAATTTCTAAAATATTCAATAAAATTAACATACCTAGTTCTTGTTGTTGTGGTATAGTTCCTTCACCTGATGGTAATGTCGGATTAGTATAATCTCGACTTTTATCATTATTAAATTTAACTGTAAGTGAATGAAGTTTTGAATATTCAATTTGAAGCTACAATTCATTTTTTTTTCGTTGACAAAATACATTTTATCTAATTTGTATTTTTACTTACTGTACAACAACCATTATAGATATTTTGTCCATGTAATTGCTAAGAAAAAAACAAAACAAAACATTTTTTAATAAATGACATATATGAATTTCATTTGAGAGATGTTTGAAATTGAGCTATACATCTCATAAGCCATAGTTTAAACTTAGATACTCGTCAACTTCTAACGTCCTACACTTAATCTAACTTTATCCTTATTCTAAATGTTCTTACTAATTTTGCTTGTGCTGCTCCAGTTGGATCTTTCGATTGAATTAATGCTTGAAATTTATCTAAATATTCGAAATATTAGAAGAAAAAAAGAAACTTTTTCAAATTTTTTTCTTACCATTTTTTGTAAATGTAATAATTTTAAGAACTGTGCCAAATTTACTAAAGATCTAAACAAAAAAAATTAAAATAATAGTTCTCATTTAGTGATGGAGTTCATGGGAGAACGTCTCCAGGTGTTAGATCGCTTTTCCGGACCTTTGTTCTTCATATATCGAAAGTTATACTGGATTTTTCGTTCTCCTCAGGTCATGTAGAAAATTGACTTCTACTTCAAACTTTGCATAGATAAACTTCTCAATGAGATTAGTTCATTACGCAAGTTGTAGCTTTTCTAGTATATTCTATCCAGAGATATGTGACCTAAGGGGAAGGAAAAACCCAGTAAAATTTTCAATAGGTTAAGAACAAAAGACTAGGAAACCAAACCGTTCTAGACTTTTCTATTACTCATTGAATGAACCTCGTCTTCTGCAACGTAGAACCGTTACATTTCTAGAGGAGAGGTTGAGCTCCCTCTGACTTCGCCACTGTGCACATTATTTTTCAATTACCTGATACAATACATCAATAGTAACAGGAAATAACAGATTAATAATGCTAACACGTAATACACAGTTTGGTCCACCTTTTTGTGCTGTTTCATAAAGATCAGTAGCTTGTACTAAAGCCACATGTGCTTGTTGATTTGTACGATTTGTTGGATCTGTACGAAGTTCACCATGATTTGAAAATTGTGCAAATACTTGTCGACCATTAAGCATAGCTGGCATTGATGTAAAATAATCGACCATTTGTTTTGCTGAATCCGTTGCATCAAATTCAAGAAAAGCCTTCAATAAATCATTATTACAAAAAACATAAAACAAAAGAATTTTTTTTTTGTTTAAAATACCTGTGCTTTTTTACGTAAATTTAAAAAATTTGTTACACGACCAAATGGAAGACCAAGTTGAACAACTTCAAGTTCACTTGCTTCTATATTTCGTAAATGAACAACACGAGACGGTAATGCTGGTTCAGAACGACTCTAATTTCACAAAAAAGAAAACAATAGAACAAATTAAATTTTTCTATGAAAAAAAAAGCAATTTTACTTTTTTAGCAATATCCGTCATTTGAGAGTTGGAATTACCAAGACCATCAGCATTTGTATCAAATTCATCACCTGAAAATGTGCGCTAGACAAGAAATGAAAAACAAAAAACTTTTGTTTTTTGAATAATGTTTTCAAATATCATCTACCTTCATATTGATCTATAGATAAAAAGAGAAATATATTAGATTGATATGAAAAAGAAAATAAATAACAACATACATCACTCGAGCACAGACGCAAACACAAGTCTGTAAGCTCGTAAGTGGATGTTGAATTGAACGTTTTGAAGTGTTTCTACACTATATTTATTGTTATTTGAAATAAACCAATTGGATAATTATAAGCAAATAAGAACAATATTGAATTGTATTAGATAAGAATTAAAATTTCCCTCTTAACGAGAAAAGAAAAGACAGAACTACAATGTAAACTCACTCACTCTCTCTCTCTCTCTCAATCTTTCTCCGTTGTTTACCAATAATAATCATTGATATACAGAAAAATTAACCAATGAAAAATAAAATCTTTAATAAAGTTAAATAAGAAATTTCATAATTTAAAATAAAACTATTTAAATCTTTATTTAATTTTAAAAATATGAATTTATTTTCTAAGAAAACTTTATATTCATTCATTTGAGATTAGCTGTAGATTGTAACCAATCGTAAACGGAGAATGAATCATTATGTCCACATACTTCCATGATTAACAAAAAACAGAAGGAAGAGAACGTTCTGGTGTCTTGATTAGTGATAGGAGTTTATATTTTGATGGCAATAAAAAAAACAAAAACAGTTATACATTTTATTTTTAGATGGAGTCTATAGATAGAAATGAAATTCTCAACAATTTTATTGCTGTTACACAATGTTCGAATGAAGAAGCCACACGTTATTTAGAAGCTGCACAATGGAATCCACAAACTGCTATGGAAATCTTTTTTGATGATGGCGGTTCTCATGCCAGCGGACCTACTGCTTCGACTAATATGAATATTAATCAAGGTACTTCAGGTTCGTAGCTTTGTTTTGTTGTTTTTTTATTTGTTTGCCATGGTAACATAAGATGTATATACACTTTTCTTTTTTGTCTATAGCACAAATAGCATCCGGTGGAACAGGTGGTTATGAATCAGATGATGAGAGTCCAATGCAAACTGCTATTGATGAAAGTCTTCGAGCTAGTGCCGCTGCAACAAAATCAACATCAACAGGATCCAAAGACGATAAAAATAAAAATACATCAGGATCATCATCATCAAAATTTGGTACTATTGGTAGTTTACATAAAGAAGAAGATAGTTCTGATGAAGAAGGTTATTGTGATTAGTATTCTTTATTGATTAAAAAAAAACTATTATTTTTTCAAGGTCAAGCTTTTTATGCTGGTGGTTCCGAAAGAAGTGGTCAACAAATACTTGGACCACCAAAGGCTAAAGATACGGATAAAAAAGTAGCTAAAATATTTGAAGCAGCTCGTAAACAAGGTGCTGTTGAAGCTGATGATGAAAACGGTTCATCATCACAAACAAAAAAAGAAAAAGTATTTGCTGGTGTTGGATATACTTTAGGTTTGTTAGTGTATTTCAGAGTTGTAACCGGTAAATGATCGGTCTGATTCTATAGAGGATTTCTTAATAGTTGGTATAGGTTTTTTTTCGGAAATCAAATCACTTTTACTGATGTCAATAACTATTTCTCTATTAACGAGAGAACATTTCTAAGTGTCAACTTGCTTTTGAGTTGGAACTATGTGCATCATGTAGGTTCAACTAAACTATGAATACACTAAAAAGAATTTGAGTTAATAGCTTATTACTGTCGAGATACTGTATTTTTTAGCAGAATGTCATGGTTCTCATAGGAAAAACTGAATTTTAACTCGAAACTTTGCATAGAGATAGGCCTTAATGAGAATAGTTTATTGTGAAGGTTTCAGATCTTCTAATTACTTCTATCTTAAGATACAACTATGGTAAAAGCATGTTTTTCATCATGCGCTTAGTATATTTTATCAAGTTATACTAGTGAAACAAAATGAAATCAATGTTCATCATTGTGTTTTAGTATATATATATATATATATTTATTTTCATTGGATATTATTTATACTATATCTTTCGCAGAAATATAAGAGATAAAAAAAGAAATCTACTATTATAAATGACGAACATTTAAAATTCATGTACAAAGCTGATATAGAATTTGTAGTCCTACAAAATTGTCTGTCCATTGATAGATGTCAAAAGAGAGAAAAAGCTATTAGCACTATCCATATAGGATTAAAATATTAAATACGATAGAACTACTTTAACTATTAGGAAAAAACTTCATCATCTATATGACATACCATGATGAAACTAAAAACTAGCATATCAGAAAACATGTTAGGCCGTGACAGACATATCGATATTTCTATGAGTAGGTTAAAAGAACATCAGCATGTTTATCGCAGTCTTTGGAGCAAGCTAGAAAGAAATGGATTCAATTTTTGCATCATATATTTCAATATTCATTAATAACTACGTTTCAGAATATCACTATAATAGTAAAACAGGAACCTTAAGTAATTGCTGTAGTGATACAGAGGTTGATTTGACTCTTTTGAGATGAGAAAAGTGTATAATAACTTCTGTCGGTTTCACCAGTACCGCCAAGGAATATATCGTATCGGTTACAACTCTGGTTTATTTTATTTATTTTTTGATACTGACTTGATATTTCTTTAGGTGATGATAATACACCTTCACGTCCATTGGGTCAATCGATATCTGATGCAACAACACCGGCTTCGAATCGAGCTGAACAACTTCCACTTCGATTCTTTTCAAATGGTTTTACTATAGGTGATGGTGAATTACGTAAATTTGAAGATAATAAAGAATTTATGAACTATATTAAACGTGGTGAAGTACCACCTGAACTTAGAAATTTAACTTCCGGTGGACGACAAATTGAAGTAAATAACAAAACTTCAGAAAATATTAAATTGATTAATTAATAAAAATATTCTTTGTTTTTTCTTAGGTACGTCTTGAAGATCATCGAGAAGAAGAATATAAACCAGTAGCACCTCAATTTAAACCATTTGGAGGTGCTGGTTATATGCTTGGTTCACCAGCACCTACTGTTGTTAGTCCATCAAAAACTACACGAGATTCTCCATTTCAATCATCTATGATAACAACAAGTAGTAGTACAACATCAGCATCTAATGATTCAAGTGATTTAGAAAAACGTGCTGAACAACAACTAAAATCATCTTCAGCATCAACTACTATACGTCTTCGTTTACCTGATTTATCAACACCAATACGTATTGTAATTGATCTTAATCGAACATTAGCTGATGTACGTAAATTTCTTAGTGAAAATGTACCTGCGCTGCAATCGAATCAATTTCAATTTATTGAACCACCATCAACAAAAATAAAACATGAAGATGAAACTAAAACAATTAGTGAAGCAAAATTAACAAATGCTACACTTGCCATTCGTCGAGGTTCTTAATCTTTTTGTTGAACATTTATCTGTTTTATGTATACAAGAAAAAGGAACACAAAAAAAAACTGATTCATTTCTTTTATCAATGGAGCTCTCTTTGATCTTTCTTTTTTTTTGTATTTCATTTTTTTTTCCTTTCTCTTCAAATAAAAAAATATGCCTTAGGCAAGCATAAATAAATGATTGTTATCATTATGAATCATACTTATGCAATATTTTTAGATTCACTATGATGAAATATTTTCATGGGCTATTTTAAAGTATTATTAACACGATTTATTCATTCGAATAGAAACAATATATTTAATAGATCAAGACAAAAGTTTAAACATTTTCTTTTTTAATAAAGATAATGAGCATTTGACCTCATCTTGATATTTTAGATTAACAAATATGGCTGAAAAGAATGATTCATTATCAAATATAATAACAATAGACGGATCATATCTAGAAGGAGTAAGTATCATGATTAATTATAATGAATGTAAAAACTTTTAGTAATCGATAAAAAAATACAAGATTTAAATTTTAATATTTATAAGCTAAAACAAAGCGTAATGATGAGCATCATTTTGAGCTTATATCTTTATATGTGGGTATGATAATACTTTTTTGTATAATAAAATAGATTTCGAAGAATAATAATTAACAAAAAATTCTATCAGAAATTAAAATATTATCTTTATTTTCTTTATTTATCGATGATTGAAAATTAAACATACATAATCAGTGTTTTTTTTTCTTGTGTTCTGCTACAATTAGAGCTCTACATTGGAGTTGAAATGATTATGGAGAATTTTTTTTTTTGAGTTACATCAGTATAACAGGCAAGTATTTTTACTCTTACATAATAATAAGTTTATTCTTCATATGCTAAGTAATGAACAAAAATATACTTCATAAATAAGTTTCAAGAAAAAAAATCATCAGAGAGCCATTCTCATTAACAAGTAGCATAAAAACAAAATATATGTTAGCATCTAATTTGGGATCCGACTTTAGACGGACATTAAGTTCAGTCTATTCTTCGATGGATCAATTACAATATGACTAATCTCGACCCGACTAACATACTATATTAAAGCAAAAGTTAACTATGGCACACGAAAATTTTATTTTCAACAAAATACAATATCTAATCATAAGTAAATAATACCAAAAATATCAATGAAGGATGTGAGTTTGGATTTACTTGTTATCTTCATCCGATGCCCACAGTCGAGATATAGGTTAACTTTTTCCTTTTGAAAAGTTTGTTTTAGCATAAATGTGTTCAATGTCGAACGCGAAATCGGACGCATCCAAAGTGAAATCGTAGATTGGCTTAGGCATAGAGCTCGTCAGGTTGGACCCAGACTCGACTGATTGTGAGTCCGAAGAATTTCAATCAACCGGGACTGGGGCCCAAAGCTTTGGGCACGACGAACTCTACCAAGGCGGATCTGACATGGAACGCTAACATATTTATACTAGTCAAATAAAAATTTTCAGAGTTTCTTAGAAGCCGAAACTGCAGAAGTGAAAATGTTTGACTCCGCAAAATTCAAACTACAACTAACAATTAGAGTTCACTGAGATTATTTGTTTTTTTACTTGATATTAAAAATTTAAAAGCATATTTAATATCAGTATTTTTGATAATTAAAAGGGTGGTCAAATACTGCGTAATTCAACAGCATTGAGTGTTCTACTTGAAATTCCTATTCGTGTAGAAAAAATTCGAGCTGGTCGATCACAAGGTGGATTACGACCACAACATCTTACTGGTATACAACTTTTAAGTCAATTATCTGAAGCTAAACTTCATAATGGAAATATTGGTGCAACAGAAATTATTTTTACACCTAGAACTATTAAAGGTGGAAATTATATAGCTGATACAAAAACGGCTGGGTATATTTAATAAAAATTTCTAATTGAAAAAGATATTCTTGTTTGTTTTTTTTATTAGGAGTGTATGTTTAATGATGCAAACTGCTATTCCATGTTTACTTTTTGCTAATAATTCATCTTATTTGAGATTACTTGGAGGAACAAATGCAGAATTTGCACCAGAAATTGATTATTATTCAATGGTATATTTCAAAATGATAATACAATAAGAAAAATCTCTTTTTTTTTTCTTTCAAAAATAGGTTTTCCAACCAATAGCAAGACGATTTAACTTTAATTTTGATATAAATTTAGTTCGACGGTTAGTATTACCTATCAAAAAAGTGGATATTCATAGATGACAAACTTTAGAGGTTATTATCCAAAAGGTGGAGGTGAAGTTCGTATTACTGTCAATCCAATTGATCAACTAACAGCTATTGATTTAACTGAATTTGGACAAATTAAAAGATTTTTTGGTCGAGCTTTTGTTGCTGGAACTTTATCTAAACGTGTATGACTGAACCTTTGTTTTTTTTTAAAGGAATATCGATTTATCGTGTAATATATATATATTTATATTTAGATTGCTTATGAAATGGCTGAAGCTGCTGAAAAATTAATACATAAACAATATTCAAAAGATATTCCAATAGAAATTCAAGTTGTTAAAGAACCTGATAATATGGCTATTGGAACAGCTACTGGTATTATGTAATAAAAATAAACAAAAATTTGTTTTGTTTTGAAATAATTTATGATCGAATATTTTCTATAGAGTCGGAGCTGAAACAACAACAGGTTGTATACTTGCATCAAGTGCATTAGGTAAAAGAGGTGTACCAGCTAATGATGTTGGTACACAAGCAACAGAAGATTTGCTTTATGATTTATCATATCAAGCATGTGTTGATCGACATTTACAAGATCAAGTTTGCATATTTGAATTTCTAATTTTGAATAAAAAAAATTTGATCTATTGTTTTTTTTTCTATAGTTAATTATTTTAATGGCTCTTGCTAAAGGTCATTCAAAAATTCGTTGTGGTCCATTATCAGATCATACTAAAACAGCTATTTTTGTTGCTGAACTTTTGACGAAAGTTAGTTGAATAATAATAATAATAATAATAATAATGTATATATTTATTATTTTCTTGAAATTTTTAAAAGGTAAAATTTAAAGTTACAGAAGTATCATCATTAAAAACTGAACATGATCAATCGAACTCTACTACATTACAAGCATCAGCAACATCTGCATCTAATACATCAAATTCTACATTTATTGTTGAATGTGAAGGATTAGGTTATCAACGACGATCTTAAATTAATATTTTCTATTTGTTCCATCATATTAACAGATAGATGATAAATAATGGCATAGTTTGAATTTCCGTTTTTGAATAATGAAAGCACTGTCCATTATAAGTTCATTCGATAAAGAATTTTTCACAATACAAAAATGTGAATTTCGTTTTTTAAATAAGTTTTTCTTGTCGACGAAAAATCGGATAGATTGACGATTGCTTCATTACCTAACTGCGATTTTCTGTGTACATCTAACTATTTGCGTTCATCACATTCGATGCTAAATGTAAAGCATTTAGCATCAGTAGATAGAGAATGCTTCCAAGATCTTCTCAAGGCTCCTAATAATATTGTTCAGATACAAAAGGCTGGAAACTGAAACCTAATTTTTTGCTTGCAAAACTGTTTTTCCAAATGTTTTTTTTTTCTAAATTTACCACATATTGCGAGATACAGTCTTTCACAATGTATCTTGTAGGATATTTCGAATATCACTAGAACTGTTATTTAAACATATTTTTAAATAATTGTTTTTTATTTTCTGACAGTCCGAGTTCAAGGATTGAGTAGCCGTCAATCGTTTCGATTTTTCTACAGCAAAGAAGCTCATTTGAAGAACGAAAAATTCTTTATTGAATAAACTTATAATGGTGTTTATAAACTGTGTTGTTGTCTTTAAAAACAAGAAAGAACATCAAAATGTTCCATTTTTTATAGGTTACCTGTTATGTTTGTTGCTGTTTGTTTTTAATCGATGGTTAATGATGATCTATTTTCTAGATAAATATTTCGTAGATATTAAAATACCTGTTAAAGAAGTAACTGATGGTGGTTTAAAAAAAGAATTAGAACAAGCAGGAGATAAATTAGTACTTGTTGATTTCTTTGCAACATGGTAATTTTGCTTTTGTATTCTATCTTTTTTTATCTAATCTATTCTTATTCGTAGGTGTGGTCCATGTAAAATGGTTGCACCAACTATTGAAAAATTAAGTAGCTCTCATCCAAATGCTATTTTTCTTAAAGTTGATGTTGATCGATGTCAAGTAAGTGTATATATATATATATTTCCTAATCTTAAATCGTCTCTGTTTTTTTTCTTTCATATAGGTAGAAGCTCAAGAATATAATATTTCAGCAATGCCAACATTTGTATTTTTTCGTAATACAAAAGAACTTGAACGTATTCGTGGTGCTGATACACAAGCTATTGAAGCAACACTTGAAAAATATTATAAAGAAACATTACCATTTGCAGGTGAAGGTCATTCAATGTTAAGTACAACACAAACAAATGCTTCGTCAACAATGACTGAATCCGATCGTCATAAACTTGAACAAGCAGCACAAGAACGTTTTGGTAATGCTAAAGATCAAACTATGACAACAATTCGTCTTCGTTTACCTGATATAGCAAATCCTGTTAATATTCGATTAAGTGTTGATCAAACATTAAATGATATTCGTCATTTAATTTGTAATACAATAACATTATTTGAAACAACACCATTTGAATTTATAGTATCACCAGCTACGAAAATAACTTTAGAAGAAGAAAATAAAACAATAAATGAAGCAAAATTAATGAATGCTGTTATAACGATAAAAAAACATTCATTTTAATATTTAGTTTTATTTTTTATTTGAATAATCCAAGAAACTAATAAATAATCTATTTAATCTTTGTTTTAGTTCTTTTTTTTCTTGATATCAGTTGTATTAGACAAACTAATAATTACTTTTTTTTTTTGTACTTTTATTTTCATTTCTCGACATTATTTAATCGTTCATCAAAGATAACAGGATAAGGCTATTTTAATTTGTTTTCTTTTCGAAAGAGAGAAAAAAAGCATAGCAGGAAATATCTCTGCTTTTATCCATAAGTATGCACGAAAGATTCTTTTTTGGAAGAGTAATATATTAGAAAAGGGAAAGCCAACTTTCTCGCCACATTGTCCTATTATGTTCTAGCGAAGAAGAAAAAAGAGCAACCATGTAATGTAATTTTTCTTTTTTTTCTCTCGTAAATACGTCATGTATCTTCGTTTTATAAGAGATGTCTTTGGAGCACAAAGAGTAGAAGAACAACACTATCAATATGACGTAGTTACTTTTTTCAGCCATGTGCACGCATCATAGTAGTATAAAATCAATACAACGAAAAACAACACACTACGGTATATATTCGCACTCTTTCGTATTTTTGTTCTATATTTTTTGATATTTTTCTTCAGGTAAATTCGATTTGTAGAACATTAAAATATCATAGAAAAGTACTTTACAAATTTCTTAATCAGTTGTTTTGATTGTTTCGTTCTTAGTTTGCCACATTTTATGTCTAACGGCAAAAATATCCATTGTACGAATAATATGGTCAATATATTTCTCTGTTGAATGTTCAAAATGACTCGAAGCAAAAGAGAAAAAGAAAAAGAAAAGTGCGAACACAGGCATATATATATATATATATATATATAATTGCAACTTCTATATGTACCTTTTCAAGTATCTAGAGTGGATTTGTGGCAAAGAAAAAGAGAAGAAGAAGAAGCAAAAAAAATTTTCGTATGACATTCAATTGAAATTACCCTTGAGAATCAGAATGAAAGAAGAAAAAATGAAAAGCAACTTCGTTTGTTGCCGATCGAATCGAAGAAAATTATTCTCAACTGCGAAATAGTTAACAGGTAGTTAGTATCAAAATGTGCTAAATAACTCATTGTAACATGTAAATTAAAAAAGAGAATAGACTGTAGGCTATCAAATTCTATTAGATCTCTTTCATTCTATCTTATTTTACAATCAACTATTGCGTACAGTACTTTGATTTTTTTTTGTTTTTATCAATAGCACACATGTATAATTGTTTTTTCTTCTTTTTGTTTTTTTCATCAAATAGTTTACACTCGACTGATAAAATAAGGTTGGCACACAACACGTACAATTGTCTAGATAGACTCATAAACATTGATGAATTTCGACATTGATAATAAGATTGTATGTACCAATCCTTCTGATTAGTGTGGATAATAGAAAAAAGTTGCTTGTATTTTTTGCTTCAATAATTACCACTAACCTTTTGTTGAGTATAAATATAATGTTGTCTATCATTTGGGGATCATCATCGCGATATATCACCTGGAGCGATGTAGTTCTTTTATTGTCGGAATGATCGAGAAGAGAAGAAAAAAAACTGACTAACTACTGTGAAGATATACATCACCACCCGATGATAATGTTGTTGAGAACAGACAAGATGTCTGTCGAGTAGAAGAATATATATTCTTTGTTAAGACATTATTCAAACAATGTTTGAACTGTTAGATTCCACGTGCGCTTGTCAGCCTATTGGATAGACAGATACTTTATATCAACAAACAATCTATTATAGGTCAATCGAAAAAAAGGAGTATGGATATTTTCACTTAGTTCATCATTTGCTTTTCTTCTAATGGCGTTCTTTCTTTTTGTACCGTTACATAAGAGCGGCAATCGATTAACTCGTTCTCACTGTTATCTATCTTTCTTTTTTTTCCTCATTCTTATATATTTGCACGCTTGCATATACATCCATATCCATTCTGTCGATCATAGCTGTTCGGGTAACATCCACATAAATAAATAAGTTTGAATAATAGGGCACCTGACTATTGTGGTCTAGTTTCTTGTCAATAAACTTATTTCATACACTACTTGTTTAGATCTTATGAAAGGTCTTTGTTAACTCTACGTCATTTTATTTTTTCCATACACGATAGAAAAAAAAAGAAATCGATGAACTTTCGACTCTCTCTCTCTTTTTCTTTGTTTCCTTCTGTTTCAATATTGTTGTATTGCTCTCGTATCTATCTATTTTGTTTCGATGTTCTTATAGTACGTCGTACTCGTCATCATACGCTTTTACACCAGTTGCCGCTGCTCGAGTTTTTTTCCCCTTTATGTCCTCATCTGCTGTTTTGCATTCTCTGTCACTATATACGCATGCATATATGTGTGTATGTGTGTGTGCGTGTTCTATAAGTATTCTAAGACACTCTATGTTTTTGTTATGATGCTAATGCAATTATTTACTCTAAATAAATCTTCTATTTTTTAATTCTACTATAACATTAGTTATTAAACTAATGAAGATTTAATGCAAATAGTTTTTTTTTTAATATTTATTTTAGTATTTTGTTTTTCTTTTGTTTTTCGTAATTTTCTCGTATTTATCGATAAAATAATAAAAAAAAAGAATATGAAACAAACAAATGAAAATATTTCAACGACAACAACTTCTGATTTTACACAATGTAATGGTCATCAAGATGATTTAGTAAAAATTCGTAAAGATTCTGATAATGATGATGCAACAACAAATACAAGTTCATCATCATCAACAAATTTAAATCATAGTGGATTAGTATCATCTATAACAACAAATACAAATGAACTTATTGTTTTACCTGAATCATCATTTAATATTCGTATACAATCACCTGGTTTAGATACGTTTGATTTACCAGTAACATCAAGTGAACTTGTTCAAGAAATTCATCAAGTTTTAATGGATAAAGAAGAAACATGTCATCGTACATGTTTTTCATTACAACTTGATGGAATTGTTTTAGATAATTTTACTGAATTAAAAAATATTGAAAATTTAAAAGAAGGAAGTTTATTAAAAGTTATTGAAGGTTTGTACCTATTATATTTTATTTAAAAAAAAAGAACTATATTCTTATTTCTAGAACAATATACTGTACGTGAAGTACGTATTCATGTACGGCATATTAATGAATTAATACATTCATGTGATTTAATTGATTTATATAATGGTAATAATGGTTATTCATTATGCATGATTAATGATATAACAAATGGAGATATTATATCGAGTAGTGGTAAGCAATAAAAAAATTTTTTTTTGTTTATTTTAAATATCTTTCTTTTTTCTTTTAAGAGCGAAAGAAGGCTGCAGAAACGAATGGATTTGATTTTAATGTACCAGAATATCTTTTACCAAATCAAAAAGATATTCTTCTTACACCTTTATTTACAACAAATAATAAAAGTCGAGTATGAAAAAGCAAAAACATAATGTTTCCTAAAAATATTTAATTTAATTTAGCCATTACAATGTTTAAAAATATTATCATATAGTGGTTGGAATCCACCAAATGGTTCAAGAAAATTACACGGTTAGTTTTTATTTGCAAAAAAAATAAATTTTCAAATTATTATTTATTTTATAAAGGTGATCTTATGTATTTACAAGTAACAACATGTGAAGAAAAGTCATTTCATATAACAGCTTGTACAATAGGTTTTTATGTTAGTCAGTAAGTTATAATTTGAAATATGGTTTTTAGTTTTCTGATTTGTTTTTTTTTTATTAAGAACTACGGATGAAAAATTTATACCTAAACCGGTGCAACCAAAAGCTATATATCATTCACTTGTTGATTTATTAAATAATGTAAGAAATTAACATTATGATTTAAACGTTTTGTTCTTTCTTCATATGAATAAGATTAAGACATACTACTAATAAGTATTATTATAGGGTCTCATGAAAGTAATTTTATCTGTTATTAAGTAAGAAAAACACATGCGTGATGTTTGATAGATTGATTATTTTTTAGTTGTCATCTGAGAAAATAATAAGAAGAAATCAAAACGAACTATATTGATTCTTCATATTATTCTCTTACGAAAGAATGTTTTCAACTGATCATTTGGTTTGTTAACGAAAACCATTGGATTATAAGTTTTTGACTATGTTGATTCTTAATATGACCATGAGAAATTCCCTTAGGTCTTCGTGTTCTGGCTTTCTAGACTGACAAAAATTTTTATTTGACTTGTCCAGATAATAGAGCATGTAAAATTATCTAGAAAACAGTAATTCTTTTTTTTTTTTTGTTGTCAAATTGTTGCTTTGGAGGAAAAATACAACAGATAGATATCAATATTTTAATGAAAAAATCTTCAAGATGATATTATATTATTTTAAAATTCATTTTTACAAAATACAAAATATTATTGACTTATAAACAATGTTATATGCTCGATAATCTGAATAACTTCAGAACTATGTTAGAGAAATTTTTACTATTCTCGAAAGACCTAAGAAGATTTCTCATAACCATATTCTGAATTAGCACTGTCGATAGCCTATAGCTTTTAGATGAAAAAGCAATTGATCAATTGAAAATTATCCATGAAACACTTCATATTACTTAAAAATAGGCAAAATTGCTTTCATTACCCCAACGTATTTGTTTATCTTATCCGTTAAAAATAAACTTCTACTACTGAAAATCAATCCTATTCCAGCGGACAGAAGTGGAGATATTTCAACGTTCACCGTGTATATACAGGGTGGCCTAAGAGTAACATGACAGTCTTGGATTGCGATAAACCTTTGATAGGAACAAGAATGAGAGCTATGATTTTCACCGTTCGAAAGAAGAGATGAAGATGTATCGAATTGTATAAGATAATTTGACCTAGTTTTTGTTCAAGGACTTAAACCGACATACTTTGTAAGGTGACTACACTGAATTTTTTATGATCAGGTGTGCATTCGAACTGATAGTCGAAAATCTACAAAACTATGCAAAGTTCGATCTTTGAAAGTT